ATACAAACTTAAGAAAATACGCAGCACTAGCATCATGGGCTATCGGCCGTTCTAAGAAATTATTCTTGTATAAAGTTGATATTTAATAATGCGCCAAAGCACGTCTTAGCAGCCTTTGTTAAGCCGCGGATGAATAACAAACTGTGTATCAATATACGAGTATACACATATGTATGTATTTATATTCATAAGTGAAAGAGCATAAGTCGATTTACAATTTTTATTTGATATATGTATAATGTCAGCTAACATGTATGAATATCTGCATTGAGGAACAATTTAGTTTACGACAAGAAAAAACGTTAACTTCGGCTGCAACATGCACAAGTGCATTTTTTTAGAATAAAAGTGCAAAAAAATATCTTTGTCTTGGTTTTGATATGTAAGTTTGTATGGCAGCTACATGTGTATATGCTACGGGCATACAATGCAAACAATATGTTGGGTGATTGTAGCGTTGCCCAGGACAAAAGCCGATGCCATTTGTCTCATCAAATAAAAAATCTTTTCTTACAAGAACTTAATTTGGAACGTACAGCTTGTATGTGGTTGCTAACATTTCAAACATTGTGATAAACTTAATATAACCTGCACAGCGTTTAATAATAATATTTTAGGATCGCAAAGTTATATTTAAGGCGGTCGTCTCTCGTTCAAGGCTTTGTTTCCTTTTCATTGCGGGCGTTTTTCACGTGGCCCAGCGCACAACCCTTCTCACTTAAGCTCGCCTTCAAACGAATGTTCTCTGGCTACCCAGAGGATACTGGATCTAAGAGTAGAAGTCGTGAGCAGCTTGAGAAATATGTAAAAGAATCGTGGCATGAACTTCTATGCATGACTTCACCCTGCAGAGCCAAGAACGATGAGAACATCTGATGTGTCGACGTTACGAGTTTTCAAGAGCAAGGTTCTGCGGAAGATTTATGGACCTTTACGCATTGACAACGGCAAATACCGCAGTCGATGGAACGATGAGCTGTTTGAGCTATACATATGACGACATTGACATAGTTTAGCGAATTAAAAGACAGCGATTACGCTGGCTAGGTCATGTCGTCCGAATGGATGAAAACACTCCAGCACCAAAAGCAGAGGAAGAGGAAGACCTACACTCCGTTAGAAAGACTAGGTGGAGACCTGGTTTCGCTTAGAATCTCCAATTGGCACCATGTTGCGAAAAGAAGAAACCACTGGCGCGCTGTTGTTAACTTCGCTATAATCGCGTAAGCGGTTTCTAAGCTAGTAAAGAAAAAGTACAAATATGATACATAAATGAAGCAATATTTCTTCGGTACTTTATCTACTCTTCAAATTTGTTGAAAGAGCTGACTCATGTATTTTAACAGTTAACAGTAAAAATTATGAATGAGCACCCACACGTACACATAATGTACATATTTGTATACATATGTATACTTGAATCAAAGCGAAAAGACATGCATAATGTGGTATATGTATATATTTAAGCCAATTGCAATAAAAATTATTATGTACATCTATGGTATACATAAATCAGCATTTGTGTGTATGTGTGTTTTTTTTTTCATGCGTATATATAGTATATTTGCTTATATATGAGTACATATACTCACACATAAGTACAAGTATATAAGCAAACAAAAGCAATCTGAGAAACTTTTTCAAAAATAGTGTATATAAGTATATACATACATACAAATGTACATGCAAATGTGAGTTGTTTGCAAAGTCGAGCCCCTCTGTTTGATATTCACAGGTTTCGTGTTACCTGGTAATACTCGTAACAAGCGGAGAGCGAGAGATTATCTACTTTTGAAACCAAATAACGTTTAGCTTTTRTCTGTAATACCTTCTAAGAAAGATTTTGTAACTTAATATTTTAATGACATATTATTAAGTTTATGTATATTAATAAATTGTTGTAACGTATTTTTCGACTAAAGTAATCCTTTGTACAGGTTATTAGAAAGACACGAAATTAATTTTCGAATGTAAAAACGAAAAAAAGAATTACTTTAGTATTGCATAAAAAATTATYATTAGGGTAAAAAGAGAGCTTAGTTAAAAATATTGTTTGGTACTTTACTCGCACTCAAACTTAGGCATAAAGGTGCTGCCTTTCCCAACCAAATTTATGACGGCTTATTGTCAAATATAGCCACAAAGTTCAGTACTTTGAATCGTAAAAATGTTGTGATACATTGTGGCAGATTTAACTGTATTCAATAAWTCTTTCAGTTTTTTTTTAATAYAGTGACTAAASACATTTTAACATTTTTGAAAAAATTAAATAAAATGGAAAGAACAAAAAAAAAAACATTTCTTCTACCTATTACATGTGTGTGTTGTCCGAGTGTAGTTCTCAGACTTGAAAATGCTCTACATTAAGACTAAAACTAGTAGCGGTTAAATTGACAGACTCAAAGAGACTTGATTGCGAAAAGAGATAAAGTATTGAGCATATACATAAGTGCTTATGTATGTAACTGTATACTACTGCATATATATATACTATACATGTCTATTCGGCCTCCTTTTAGACAAAATAATAAATTCTATAATGCAAGTTAACCGGTTTTCTTGTGGAATGCCGAAATAAAACCAGTTGGTGGCTAATAATTTCAGAATAAATATTAATTATATAATTTGCGCAGAAAAATATGCAAGCATATACAAACATATGTACATCTTAAAAAAATACACTGAAAATAAGTTAATAAAAAAACGAGAAAARRWWAWWAAAA